GAAATGGAAATCTTCAGCTATCAGGGCTTACAGATACAGCCAATTTCCTCCACTCAGGATTTTATTTTTCTTTTTTCTGGAAGCAGGAGGTAGGTGGCTTTGCCTGGTACAAAAAAAAAAAAAAAAAAAAAAAGGTTTGCTCCAATACACGAAGAGAAAGTATTTCAGTTCAATAAAAGCAGAGTCTAGGAGAGAAACCCAGGGGGTTTACACCAATTCTGGAAGGAGGCAGGAGACAACTAGAGGTGAAAAGGACAGAAGGAAAATGGGAGGGGGAAGGAGAATAAGTGACAGAGAAGGAAAAGGTGTGAAATAATTTGCCCCCAATTTATCTTTATGAAAATTTGATATGTGAGAATTCTTACTTGAAAATGAGATAAATAAAGAAGTAATTATTTGCATTACAAATTAACTCTTCACTTCAAAAGAGTATTTACCACAGGTGTGATTCTGTGATGTGAGACTTTAGAAAAGAGTATGACTTGGGAGAGGTGGGAGATTTAAACAATAAAATCCTGGTTATAATATAATAGGAAATAATTCCAGTGTATAAAGAGGGGGTTAGATTTTATAAAAGAGAGAGAGGTGGTTGAACAGGGAGCTCTGCAGAACTCAGGCTTTGAAAAGGACATGAACAAAAGGCAGAGGGAGGGGAATATAGATAAGCTTGAACACAAAAGACTCATGAACCTTCAAGACAGAATAAAGGAGGATGAAGTAGGGATGAGCTGAGCTCTACAAAAACTGCTAACAGCTGCTTACTTAGAGTAGGGAGAAGCACAAACACGGAACAATTTGCTTTGGGGGTAAGTATGGCAATGTTAAGAGAAGTTGAGTAATTCTTATCTCTCTGTTCATTTTGCTTCTGTTTTTCCCCAAGGTACAAAAAGTAGTTTTGACAAGATGAAGAAAATGATATTTCTCTTAGAGAGGTAGCATGTTTGAGGGGAAGGTATACACTGATGTTAGCCCTGTTGGGAAGGGGATGGAGATCCCCAGATGCCGCAGTCTGGCTGGGCACAAAATCACAAGTCACTCACACCTTGTAGATTCAAACAGCAACTCTTTATTCTCAAACTGTAACCGGCAGTCCTACACACACGTTCTGGGCAAAATCCACATTCTGGGCAAAATTTACGTACTCCACCAGGCTCTGAATCCCAAATACTTTCTGAATCCCGAGAGAACTCAATGGGAACTCAAGGAGCAGGCGGGTGCTTGAGGCAACAGGATACACCTTATTCCCAGCAGGGTACACCTTAAACCTGGAACTGCCCTAAACCCAAGGAGTGGGATACTCCCTAATCCCAGCAGGATACACCCTAAACCTGGATCTGCCCTGGTCCTTGAGCAAGGTCACCTTACTCAAGCATACATGCAATGTCACTGCAAATGACCTGGGTCCAAAGGCAAGCCCATTTCCACAATGGAGAGTCCTTCCTCTAAGCAACATGGAGCAGGCTGACAAAGAAGTTGCCATGCATCATTCCTACTTGGCAATGGCTCTCAGTACCCAGAGTCTGGGCATCAGCAAAGATTTAGGAGCCCTGAAGACAAATTTGAGGAAAAGGTGATGATAAGCAGACACAAGAGAGAGAAAATCAGGAATCACGGGATCTGCAACCCTGTCACCTCCCACTATGCTCAAATCTTAGAAAATTCCACTAAAATTCATTGATTGCTTAGTGTGAGCAGATTTCTTATGGAAATGGAAGATGGAACTCAGCTTGATTCCCTTAGAGGAACTGGGGAAAATAAAAGCCAACTTCCGCATTCAGGAGCCAGAGGAAAGGGACACAAGGCTAGACCTTTGAAAGGAAGGTGCAGTGAGAATTGAAGTCCCACACAGGTGAGAAGGCAAGAAAATATGCAACACTTGGAAATGGATATAAGCTTCTAGGACTAGAAGAACTGAATGTCTACAACAGCAGAAGCACTCTTCCTCCTGAGTTTCTTTGCCTGATAGCCCCAGCAGACTTCCCTCTTGTTTTACTAACCAGGATTAAATCACAATAGCAATCGAACCTGACACATGACTGGTTGAGGCTTAAATTAGCCTTTTGCAGTAGAATGGATGTCAGGACTTGCTTACTGATCTCTAGTGTCTAGAATCTAATTTGTTCCCTTTTGAAAAAAGTCACCGGCCTTCAGCCACCTCTCTTATTTGCTATTAATCCCAACAGATTATTGATAAAGGCTCTGAGAGCGCCTCTGCACTATACATGATTACAAGTCCATAGCACTGAATTCTTCTAGCTCTAGAAATTTAAATCCACTTCCCAAGGGTATGTGCTTTCTTGCTTTCTCACCTGTGTGGGACTTCAGTTCTCTCTTCAGCTTCCTTTCAAAATCAAAGGGGTATAGCCTGGTGTCCCTTTCCTCTGACTCCTGCATCTGGAAGTTGGCTTTCATTTTCCCCAGGTCACCTAAGGAAGTCAAGCTGAGTTCCATCTTCTAGTTCCATAAGAAATCTGCTGATACCAAGCGATTAATAAATTTTAGTGGAATTATCTAAGATTTAAACAGAATGGGAGTTGAAGAAGGGTTGCAGAATTAATATATTTCTGGTTTTATTTATCTCTTGCAACTGCCCCCATCAAAACCTTGTACCCATGGAGTTGGGGGGCAGTGGGAAACCAGCTTGAGAGCAAAGTAATCCTCTGAGGCTAACAGACAGGAGGAATGATGAAAAGAGTATGAATTCACAACTACATTGCTAAACTTCTACTAAAACTACCAGTCTGAAGCTCATTCCACCTTCAGACTTCTTCATTAACAGTAATAAACATTCTCACTGTTCAATTTTTTGAAGACAATTCGATTTTTTTTTTAATTTGGGGCAAAGACAGTCTAACTGATACAATCATATATTTTAATTCAATAAAACATTTTATGAATTTTTTTTCATAGTGTCCTTAATGTGAAGGTAACTAGTAGAACAGATAATAATAATAATAATAATAATAATAATAATAATAATCATCATCATCATCATCATCATCATCATCTAAAGTGCATTTGTGGGTGGCTGGGAGAGCAGTGATAGTATGTGCCTGTCCTATAAATATCATACAACTGTGACTGTGAGGATCCTGGCCTCAGTGTTTTATTAGTACATGACAACATTTCCTTTAATGTTTTCTTTCCTTTGAAGATAATTCAAATCTTGAGGGAAATCTAAGACAGTAGATATCAGAATTAAAATTTGAAGGGACTTAGCAGGCTAGAATGTTAGAATAAAACCAACAAGTTGAATAGCTATCAAAATAAGATGCAGCATTGGCTCAAAAATCTATTGTAAAACTTCAAGATGAGCAAGGCATGATTTAGCAGAACAGCTGAGAATTTTAGTTGTGCTATGCAGTGGATATCATGGTCTACTGCCTAGAGTCTCCCTTTAAGACCAAAGCAGTTGTTTCTCCAGTGGCAGGGAGTATTGTGGCCAGTGACCAAAGGTTCTCTGCTGAGTCCCTTTCTAGGACTGAACTTCAGCTGAAGAGAGCTATCACCATTAGTTTGTACCATCTCCTTAGAGATCACTGCTTTCTAGAATTGATCAATATGTGCATAGAAAAGCCTGATTTAAATACTTAAGGCATGGACAAGTTTGAAGGGCCATCTCAGATGTAGAGGCCCCTCTGGGACCTACTGAAGCCTTTATTATAACAGAGTTCCACTTTTTTTTTCTTCTCTTTCAGAGTTCTATTTCTTATCTGCCCAATCTTCCTTTATCCTACATAGGTGTTAATCCTGTTGATCCTAAAGTTCTAGTAAACTTTCTACATGGGAATTTCCAGCTCAGAGACTGTATTTGTTAGGGACAAAGTGTCACCAAGGTCCCACTGTTATATTGGGTTCATACAGAAGCCAGGTAGTAAATGTAATACTGGTCTAAAAATGACTCACAGTGGGTTGATTCATTCGTTCCCAAATATTATACATTCTAATTTATAATTGGAATGGACATATGTGGTAGTTGGTAAAATCTCCACTGTTTGCTTGGCTTGTGGATCAAGAACTAGTATAGTGAGGAGGCCAAGTAAAAGCTCTCATCCAATAACGGGCTGTGGCCATAAATGCCCCATGCACACCCCTTCCCCCAGCTCCTTAGTGATTGTTTGAGGTTTTGGTGTGACTCGCATCACAGTTCAACTGCTGACTCCTACTTCCTTCTCTGTCCTATAGGTGTTAATCCCTAAGTCATATCCATTAAACTTCTCCATTCTGTAGGCAAATCCTTTCTTCAGAGTTTTTATATGAGCCCTAAAAAGTCAAGCAAGTGGAGTTGGGTCATTAAAAATTGATTATTCTAGTCATGGGGAATAATGAATCCTAAACCGGTTGAACAGCATTTAGAGAATTAAATTCTATTTGGGGTCTTTAAGAGAAACTCATAAATGAGGAAAGCAACCAAGATGAATAGTGTAAGAAAATTTTACTTGAAGTAGAGAGAAAGGAATTAAAACTTTGAGAACTGTCTTTAATCCCACAAAGGCCGTCATGGGGAAGATGGAAAGGTTTCTGTGTTGGAGGAGAGAATGGGAACAAAGGATAGATTCTATAAGGAGGCAGATTTTAGATTAAGTAAGGGGGAGGAATTTCTAAAGGGCAACCTGTCACATGTCTTGGGAAGAATGAGCGAGCGTCTCAATACAGTTAGATGATCATAAGTCAAAAGTGTTTGAGGGAATTTATTCTATGACTTGGGGACTAGTTTCAAGTCCTTTTCATCTCTTAGATCCTGTGATTATAGGTTGTGATAAATTACAAGCCTTTTAAGGGTCCTTAGTATGGAGAATTATGTAATCTGCTCAAGCATAATGTAAGACTCAATTATATTAGTTTTTCTTAAAGGGAAAAAACCCTCTGTCACCTTCAGTCAGTCTGGAGTGTTATGCATGGAGTAGGATACATAGGTAATATTTCCATTTAGCTTTCCCCATCCTCAGTGAGCTTATAATTGAATTCCTTGTGTAAGATGCAGAAAAGAAAAAGACTTGTTTTTGAGCAACTTTGACTTTTATTGATAACCATGTTTACAGGGTTTTAGGACTTTGAAGATAATTTATATCCTTCTGGAATTATTTTTAGCCTGTCAGCATAGCCTTAGGAATGCAGACTTAACACTTTCACTGATAAGGAAGTTAAGCTCCCGGAAGTTTATAGACCCAGACCACTAAAGGAACTATGTGCCAAGGCTGGAATCTGGCCTCTTGCCTTCCGAATGATATAACTTTTGAATATTTTTCCAAGTTCTCCAAATTCCAAATCCTCTTGTGTTCCAGACCACTCTCACCATATTTTTATGGGTTGAATTTTGTCCCCCAAAAGATAAGTTAGTACTAAACTGCAGAACTTATAAATGTAATCCTATTGTCGGAATAGTCTTTAGAGATAGAATTAAGATAAGTTCATGTTGGATCAGGGTGGGTCCCAGTGTGAAAACGAGGCAGAGACTGGAGTTGGGCTGCCACAAACCAAGGGACAATAAGACAACAAGAGTTGCCAACCATCACCAGAAGCTGAAAGATGCAAGGGAAAGTCCTTCCCAAGAGCCTCAGAGGAAGCATGGCCTCTGAAACTTCTAGCCTCCAGAACTTAGAAAGGAATTCCTGTTGTTTTAAGTCTCCTGGTTTGGGGAAGCTTGTTATGGCAGCCCTTGGAAACTAACACACCATATCCAAGATCATTCCCCCAGGCAGGAAGAGGTGAAGTGAGAGGAAGGGTTGTCAGGTTCAGACATCATAAGGGACAAAGAGATGTCTTGCAAAACAGAGGACACAAGTAGCCTTCAGCAGGCAAGTGTCTGCCATTGTCAACCTGGGTGTTAGATCATAACATACTAGGGCACGTGACATGTAAACAGGAAAGGGTGTCCTCTTAGGTGCTATTCCTCTGTCTAGCAATTAACTTACAAAGTTGAAGTATCCTGGGTGCATTTAGGGAATAAAAGACAGGAGAAAAATCTGATTTCACAAGGTGGGGGGGGGCGCAAAAAGATTGTGTCAAATAACTTAAGAGGTTCTGAGTAGACTGAACCAGAGAGGTGTGACAATAGCTGCATAGGGGAAAAAAATAACAGCAACGATAATAATAATAATCTCATGCATTTGTTAGGACTTTACAGTTGACAAAGCACTTCCATTATGGCTTGAATGCTTGTGTCCCCTGCAAAATTCACATTGAAAGTTAATCCCCAGCGCAGCCTATTAAGAGGGGAAACCTTGAGGAGATAGATGATTAGGTCATGAGAGCTCTGCCCTCATGTATGGGATTAGTGCCTTATAAAAGGATCAGAGGGAAACTGGCTAGGTCTACTTTTACCCTAGGCATTTTGTCTACAAATGCCACAGCATTTGCCCATCTGGAGGATGCAGTCATAAGATGCCCTCAGAAGAAGAGACCCGGTTCTTGCCAGACATCAACCTTCTGGTGCTTTGATTTTGGACTTTCTAGCCTCCAGAACTCTGAGTAAATACATTTCTGTTACTGATAAATTACCCCATCTGTGGTATTTTGTCAACAACAGGAAGAAATGGAAGCAATGTGAATTTGTGATTTTATCTAATCTTCAGTCTAGTAAGAAAGGCCAGGTCTTTGGATCGTCATTTTCCTCGTGGGGAAAATGGCTCAGAGAGGTTGGAAACACTTACTCAAGGTCACTTATCTGTACTAGCACCAGAACTTCAGCCTTTGACTGTCTGCCAATCATTTTTCACATAAGGTGTCAGAGCCACCTTGGGCTCAGCCCAGCTCTATGTCTGGGGAACAGTTACCTTCAGACACTGTCAGCATCTCCTCCCTATACCCAGAAGATTCTATACAAAGCAGGGACTCAATGCACAGTCACAGGGGTGGGGTGATTAAGTGAGGTTGGGGGAAGCAAGAGATCCCAGGCCTTGTGTTTTTCATGGACTCTCGGTTCTGTCTCTGCCAGTGTGCTGCAGAGCAGAGCTGACACTGGCATCACCTGCAGTGAGTCTTTGTGTCAGGAGGTAGTCATGGAAACTCACTCCCTTCCTAAGCTGATGAGTAGACAATTAGGTAGAATGGAGGAATCAAGTTAATTGCCTGTCATGCCCTCTCTGCTCTCTGTGTATTGATTCAAATTAAGCTTTTTCAGTTTTCTAATGTCAGCAGATACCAAACGATCGGAGCACATAGCTGGGAGTTAGGACATCCAGGAAACGACCAGTTCTGAGTGAATCTCTTAACCTTTCTGCCTCTCTGTTTAGTTCTGACCCAAGCATTCACAAAAACAAATCTCTTTTCTGACCTCCCTTGGTTTTGGACCCAAAGACTCTGAACCATTAATGTCAACCATCTCTGAGGCCGTGGGCATTCAACTAGCCTTTCCCTTTCTTTCAGAGAAAAGATAGAATTCAAATTTAATCCTGCATTTGTTAAAACCCAGTGTAGCTCAGAGAGAAGTAAACAAATCAGTAGTGGATGTTCTGCAGTGTGGGTTGTCCATGTCGGGGACAGGCCAACAAGATGTGAAGATCTTCTGCAAGAGGTGGCATCATCAGCTCAGCTGCCATCTGAACAGACCTGCAGGAGGTCCTCAGAAAGGAAGCCTCTTCCTGTTGCAAGAATGAGTGGGCAGACAGAATTTTCTTACCAAGAGACAGTATAAGCATTATTATAGATAATAACATTTTTAAAATGCTAGAATTAAAAGCATTCCCAAGTTACAGGTAACTAACTTACTAGAGGTATATCTATTTCCTTGTTATAAACTTCAGGATTAGAGGAAGAAAGATGGAGTAAGGGAGGCCTTGGATTCCCTGTCAAGTTCTTGTGCACTTTAAAATTTTAACAGTATCGCAGCAGGAATCTGTCATGCCTATATACTTCTTTTTCTTTTTTTTTAAATTTATTTTTCAGTTGTAGTTGGACACAATACCTTTATTTATTTATTTTTATATGGTGCTAAGGATGGAACATAGGGCCTCGCATATGTTAGGCGAGTGCTCTACCACTAAGCCACAACCCCAGCCTCACTAATACCTCTTAAAGGTAAATTTATCAAAGTTCAGGATGACAATATTTCATAAATTATCCATAAATTTTATCTTGAGTCTACAATCAATAAAAATAGCTTCTGTAGGTGAGATGGTAAATAGTTCCTTCTAAATGCAATTTTAAATGACATTTACAAATTATTTTATACTTTTATACTCTTATACTTTTTTATCTCAGTTGTTAGAGTGATGATGTTTAGGATCTGCACTAGGATCCTAAAGTCTGCACTAGTATCATGACTTTGGACAGCCACCCTGCCCAGTACCCTGGGTTCTGAGGTCCTCTGGCAGTCTAGGTGACTTCCTAACACCCTTAGGCTTATTAATAAATGAGCAAACACAGGAGCAGGCAGTGAGCTCCTTGAGGACAGGAGCTGTGTTGGTCGTTGATATTTGTTCAAAACCTGGGAGATGACTGTCACTTCACAAACACTCACTCCTTAGTAAGTCACAGGGTCTGAAATTATTGCATCTCTGTAAAGCAGCAGATGGAGGTGCCTTAGCTAGGAACCTTCTAGTGTTATGGAAAGTATGTCTAAAGCATGTTCAGAACCACCAAATTCAACAGTGTCACCACAGTGGGAACTGTCATTCCTTTCATGGACATCCCCATCTTGAATGACTCTGGATGTTGACATGTTGAGATTGCCCAGAGAAGAAGGGAATAGAGTCAAAGAGCTTCTTAGAACTAAAATATAAAGATACAAGGATAGCAAGGTTGAAACAAAGCTCAGGTCCCAATGTGGGACAGTGTCTCTCCTTTGTAGTGAGGAAGTCCCCTCATCAAACGTAGCCAATTAGAATCTACAGAGAGGAAGAAGCACTGGCCTTGCCTTTCAAATTTCAGGATACTGTAGAGGAAAAAAGCAACCAAGAGGGAAAAGTACACAGAAGTACAAGGTTATTTGAACTGACAGTTAATTAGAGGTCTGAAAGAAGAGAGATGGGCTATTCCGCAAGATGGTTTACTGGCTGAGATTTCAAGGACCCCTGGCAAGTTGAGAAGGATGAAATCTGTTCATTTTTCCTTCATTGCGATGAATCAGGCCTCCAGTGACAACAGTGTGTCTGTGTAGAGTCATGCTTTATCAACTTCTATGAATTATTGCTCATCACTTAGGGGCTTTCAACCATTTAAAGATTGTCAGAAGGAAATCAGATGTTAGCTGGGGAGGTAGAACATTCTATTTTGGAGTAAGCAGTTGGTTACACCTGCCATGCAGGGACACCCTAGTCCAGCAATCTTCCTTTTACCACATGCCAAGGACAATGCATGGTCTTTCTGAGCAGGCTCTGGTCAGGGGTCCAACAGCCTGGTGGTTGGAGGTGGATACAGGGAGTGCTGCTACCTCTTTTTCAGCAAGACAGGATCTTGAGGAAGGCTTTGCGGAACTCTGCATTGAAGGTGGTGTAGATCACAGGGTTAAGGGCGCTATTCATATAACCCAGCCATGTTGTGGCACTGTAGAGCTCTGGGGACACGTGGCAAGCTTGGCAGTGGGTATTGAGAACATGGGTCAAGAAGAAGGGCAGCCAGCAGATGATGAAGGCTCCTAAGATTGCAAAGAAAGAAAGAGTGGGTAAGGTTTTCGCTTACCCCTTTATTATAACATGAAAATGACTTCTGAGTATCTGCTTTATGAAGCTACTATACTAGAAGTTTTAGATAACCATCTGCAATTAGCCACTTTTCTTTTCTTTCTTTCTTTTTTTTTTGTACTAGGGATTGAACTTGGGGAGTATTCAGCCACTGAGCCACATCTCCAGCCCTATTTTGTGTTTTATTTAGAGACAGGGTCTCACTGAGTTGCTTAGCACCTCACTTTTGCTGAGGCTGAACTTGTGATCCTCCTGCCTCAGCCTTCCAAGACGCTGGGATTACAGGTGTGCACCACTGTGCCAGCTGTGCCACTTTTTAAGATGAGAAAACTGCTAATGCCTTTGATTCACCTCAAGCGTATGTTACTAAACCAATTTTTAGTTTGGTGGTTAGGTAATTCTGAACTAGTCTTTTCTCCTTCTCAATTCAATTCAGACATTTATTCAGTGTCTACATATATGAGACATGATTTTAGGCTCTCATACAAAGACTAAAGATGTGGTTGTCACGGTTCCTGCTGTGGGGGAGATAACCTTAGGGGGGGGTTCTAGTCAAGTCCTTCATTGGGTTTTGGTAGTAACTCTGAACAGGCTGAATTGCTTTCATTAATCTATATGGCACTTGTGACTTAGCAATTTTTAACTTCATTATTTAAATAAAGTTTATACTTTTTCTACCATAAAATTAGCCTTGATTATATACATAATGGAAAACTTGGTAAATACAGAAAAATAGAAGAAAAATTACCACCTACCACTCAAAGATAATCACTTTTGACTTTTCTCTGAATTTCTTTTCAGTCTTTTTTCTTTGCATTAAAATAATCTAGATGTTATCTTACCATACAAATGACAAAGTGTTTTGCATCCCTATTTTTTTAATTTAATATTTAAAAATAAGTAAGCATTTGTTAAATATCCAACATGTCTCAGATCCTTTTATTTCATTATTATTTGATTTATACATTATAATTCCACATGACAGCAAAATACAACTCAATTAGGTAGCTTGTTCAGCTTCATAAATTTCTTTTGAATTTCCACCAGTGTTAATATTTATACAAAAGTGTTTTTAATTGTATCATAACCATTTTATAAAATTATAATCATTCAATTTCCATTTTTTGTCAAATGTGGCTACTCTAGCACCTACCACCAACTCCAACTAACTAAACCTAACCCAATCTAATCTAGCCCAACCCAACACTCACCAACTTACACTTACCAAGAACAATGACTACCATCTGGGTTGCCTTCTTTTCTCGAAGTGGCACTGCACGAGGTTGCAGGGGTCCTAGCTTCAGGGATGTTGATAACCTGCCATTACTGAGTTTTCGAACTTCTAAGCTGAGCTTGGGTGCCATAGTGGGGCTGAGGGAGTTTCGCGTCATCTCCTCCTTTCTCAACTCTCCTTCTTCTTGGAAGCCTGGTTGCCTCAAGGCAGTATCTTGGCAGATGCTATAGTAGCGCTTCAGCTCCGAATGTGACTGGCCAGGAGAGAGGGGCTGCAGGTGTGAAAAGAGAGGGTTTTGAAATTTCTGAGAATATTACTTAGCTTCTGTATGTTCCAGAAGGCGACAGAAAATGTGAAGAAGGAAGAAGAGGGCATCATTTATGAAAGTCACAGAAGGACTATCTGAGAGTATGGGCAGGACCATGGCAAGTTAAGGGAAATGGAATTTGCTTTTGATTTTACAACTCAAAAGCCTCCTCCCACATATAGAACATTGGATGATCATAGCAATCCCTTGAGGAGGGTAGCAGAAGACTGTAGTCTGGCCCTTTTGAGTAAGAATGAGCAGATAATACAGAGGAATACAGTAAGTGACCCCACTGGAATATAGGCAACAAAACATGGAATGTGGGAACTCTACAAGAGAAATGATTCCTTTTCTTCAATATTTTTGTAACAAGAACAATAACAACATTTAACCAATTGCAAATTATGGACCTTATTTGAATTATGATTCAAACAAACAAAAAAATGTGTAAGACAGTTGGGGAAATTTGAACTTTGACTGTACACTTAATGATATTAGAGAACTATTATTAATTTTTTTGGTGTCATGTGGTATTGGGATAATGTGCTTTGTAACTGAGTCCATATCCTTTAGAGGCTCTTACATAAATATTTTCAGTTAAAATAATGTATTTGAGATTCGCTTCACAATAGCCCAGGGAGGGGTGCAAACGTAGGAGGCAGCACAGATTTGCGAGATTGACCACAAGCTGATAATTGCTGAAGGTGGTTGATTGTGACTACAGAGCTTGTTATATTTGTCTTTCTACTTTTTAAATAAAATTGTCCATAATAGAAAGTTTAAAAAAATAAGAAAAGGAAAAAAAAACCCAAGGATTTTCATCTCAGATTTCTCACTTAGTAGATATTCTTTAGTAAGTTAATTTGATATCTCTGAGCCTCATTTATAAATAAAACCAAAAAAAAACTGGGAAAAATGGGTTTGAAATGAGTGGCCTCTGAGAGTAGAAAACAGAATGTGATTTTTTTCCGATATTTTGCCAGAGGGAGGTCAGTTTGAATATTGTGCTCAATATCATAATTTCTTTTTATGTTTGAAGAACCAGACATTTGTGTCAATCCTGAATAGCAGGCAGGAGTACCCAACTCTCATTACCATAAAGCCAACTATTCACTACACATCCTCTCTCCAGTCCTGCCAGGCAGCTAGAGCTCTGGTACATGAACCAAACTGGGGCAATCATAGATTTCAGACCTGTGGCTTTGAACTGGAACTAGTGAAGCAGGGAGACTTCAGGACTCCTCTAACAGTGGTGATATTCAATGTCCTATGTGTGAGGTCTTCTAACCAGATTATTCCTGATAATGAACAACATCTTTAGGAGCTCTTCTTCAGACATCTTACTGAGTCTCTGAACTGCCTGACCAGTTTTCTGATACATTTCCTTTCTACATAAATGGTCAGTGTTGGTCCCCCTAATCCTTTGCTTTTCTCTACTTAGTTCAAGAAATCATACTCATAAACACTGAGTAAATGCAAGGGGGTCATCAAGGTGATCTAGTGTTTTAAAAACTGCTTAGCAAAAAGGAATTCTAGGAGAATATATACTTTTAAAGCTGTTGGCTTTAAGCTGGGAGGGATGGCACATGCCTATAATCCCAGTGACCTGAGATATTAAGGACAGGAGAAATGCAAGTTCAAAGTCACTCTGGGGAAGTAAGGAAGACTGTCTTAAAATAAAAATGAAAGGCTTGAGAATGTAGTTCAGTGGTAAGGTAACCCTGGGTTCAATCCCCAGTATTGCCCCCCAAAACACAAAATAAAACAAAACCCTAAAACCAACCCCACCCCTGCAAAACAAAAAAAACAAAAAATAAAAAATTTCTGTTTTTCATGTTGATGGAATTTCCTAATTAATACGAGCATATTATATTTTGATAATTTATAATCAAGATTACACTTATGATAAAGCTGGCATGTATTGATCTTTTATAATAGCAATATTTAACTTCTAATGTAGTGTTCTTTTTTGACTACTGAGTCACATCCCCAGCCCTATTTTGTATTTTGTTTAGAGACAGGGTCTCACTGAGTTGCTTAGTGCCTTGCTTTTGCTGAGGCTGGCTTTGAATTGAAATCCTCCTGCATCAGCCTCCTGAGCTGCTGGGATTATAGGTATGTGCCACTGCGCCCAGCTAATGCATTGTTCTTGATACCAGGGGTATGGCATCAAAATCTTGGAAATACCTATGAAATCTAAAACTGGAGAACATTGGAAAAAAGTGATTCTTCCAAGATATTATGTTGGTGAGTATATTTTTCAGCTCTCTCTGCAAATCCTTCTTACTACCTCCCTGATCTGAGGAAAACACTGGATTCCTGTGTATGGCTGGCAGAGATCTCCAATTCCAGATGGCAGGACAGAGCCTAATTCTTCACACTTCTGGCAATGAAGCTGCTCCGCTTTTCAATCTCACCTTTGTAGTCAACACATCTCCTTTGGCCTTGGAGGCTCCTCAGACCTTGGATTTACAATGGGCCACTTCAAGCTGCTTAACTATTTTTCAGGATTTACAACAAAAGAGTCTCTAATTGCTACATCAGACCTGTGTAAAAAGTGGTTAATTAACTATAAAGAGACTGGACAAGATTCAAAGCTTTATGGATTTCTGACATTTTATCCCTATTGTGGAGTTCAGGGAGAGGAATACTGAATTATATTGAACACCTCCAGGCTCCATTCTGATTCTGGGAGATAGGGAGGCAGGCTGGCTTGAATTAGAAGGAGAACGTTCAGGTGACCATAAAATTTTCTTGGTCTTCTTCATGTTCAGTGGCAAATATCGCACTTGAAAGTCTCCTCTCCCTACTTTCTTCGGATCTGTTCACATGTGTTTCATTGACATCCTGTTTGCTTTAATGCAAGTGGCTGTGGCATCTTCAAACCACATCTAAGAGTCATTGGCTTCAGTCATTGGGATCTAGTCCAACAGCCACATGCTTTCTGAATATTATTTGGTGAATCCCATTCTGAAGCTTAAATCATGACTCTCAGATTTTGTCAGGTAGTGCAAATATATGTGTGGAATCAGACTAGATTACATGTTGAAATGGGAATGGAATCAAGACAAATCAGCATCTTATTCTTTTCCTATGATACACATCATGGCCTACTTACCATTTTTCCTGTGGTATCTGATGGAAACCTGGACCTTATTGAAAACTGCCGAGTAGGGTGTAGCTGCAGACAGGAAGACTAGGGTAAGTTGAAGGAGAGGCAGTCAGTTCTGGGCTGAGCTCTGCATAGTTGAGCCCTGTCATATGTAATCATGCAGCCCGACATTGCTTTCAATGCAACGTATTCATATCCTTGGGACTTCAACTTTGAGAGTCAGACTTTCATTTAGGTCATCAGAAATTGACCTAGACATCCAAATTGGTTCTGCCTTTAAGGTTAATCTCAGTTCTACTGTGTCTACGAAGATTTTTTCCTGAGAATTTTTGTCTTTCTCTTTTCATAACCTCCACAGCATTTTATACCTGGATGCTTAATTGGCTGCACCTCACATTTGGCAAACATCCCGCTCAGTTCTGAGCTGTTCATTGGTTTTAGGTGGAAGTGAGCTTTATTTGTTAGATCCAAAGTTCCATGAAGACAGAGGCCATATAACATTCCCATGATCCCTTCCCTAGTAGATTATAAGCAATTGGTATTAGTTCATTCATTCAGTGAGTAACTTATGCTAAGCTACCATGTGCCAGGCACTGGAATTAGCAGAATTTAAAATCCGTACAATTGCAAGATCAACCTTTCTTTAGAGCCTAGAAAGACCCAAATCATTCCACCAATTAGTCAGTGCCTTAGGCAGATCAGGAAGGAAAAAAAGTTTCAAGAGACCCCAGTGATTCTTAGATTGAGTGGTTTAGACAAAAAGTTGGTTCTGGGAACCCACCAGCAGTGCATTGTACAAGTGCCACACTAAACTCTGAAACCCTACTCTATCCCAGCCCTGCAAAATAAAACAACAAGATAAAATATAAAATAAATCCTTAATCCTTATTGGACATCTGAACTGCTGGCCCTTTAGAGGAAACAAAAGGCTCTGAGGGAAGCAGAAGGAGCCAGAAACTCTCCTATTATCTTGCCAAGAAAATGAGTTCTAGCAGAGCCTATTAATGCACGCTTGAGATTGAATTTGCTACCTTCAAAGCATAGATAATAATACCAATGGGTTGGAAGGTGGTACCAGATCTCTGTCTCCCATGTGGCAGGACAGGCAGGAAGCCCGGAATTGGTGTTGCCACCCTCTGCCCGCTCCAGGGTGCTCACTTGTCGAGGGAAGCCGGGCCTGACAGTGATGCACTGACTGTTCTGTCGAGTGAGGATCCGTTTCCGTCTCCTTTGTCTCAGCACCACATAGATCCTGGCATAGACGAGGACAGTCACCCCAAAGGGCACATAGAAGGACACCACTGAAGAGTAGATAACGAAATCAGGGTTGGAGATGGAGCAGACGCTGGGGTCCCCTGTGGGTGAGAGAAGGGGAAAAGCTAACAGTTGGCACGGAGCTTGGACCCAGGTGACCCGCACTGCTTCCACCTTCTAATGGAGGGTGGGGACAGGCAGTCTCAGACAACTATGTTGTCAGCTCCTTGAGGCTAAGAGGTCTAATCGATCTTTGAGTGTCTTACAGTTCACTTAAAAAGAAAATTCAGCCACAATTATATGCCAGGCACCACTCTGCACTGGGGCTGCAAAGATGAATTGACACTGTATCTGCCCTTGAAGAAGGTAATGCGCAGATAGACAAATGATTCCTTCCTGGTGGTGTGGTGTCACATAGAAATCCAGCCTGGGAGTCTGGGGGTGGGGTGCAGAGCAGGAGGGCAGAGACTCTAGGAGGGGTGTGGCCCCCAGCAAAGGGCCTCCTGGTGTAGAAGCAGGAGTGGGCTGCTGAAATCGGTGGAAGGAAGCAGCTTCTTTTGAATTCAGGATGTGGGGCAGGTGGTGGCTGAATGTAAGACAAGCATCTGCTTTTTTTAGGGCATCCTAGCACTGGGCAGGGTGGGTTAGGAAGAGAACTGGAAGTATATTGTCACAGTGGAGAATGCAAATTCAGAAGAGTCCTTGTCCCTGCCTTATGTCCAAAGTGTCCCTGCCACTCTCTTTAGAAGGTCCCTCTAGCTTGCCTTCTTCCCTAGCAGATGTTGAGGTTCCTATAATACCCAGGTTAGGGCCTGAAATGGGCTCCACTTTGAAAGGGTAGCCTAACTAATTTCTGCCAGGTGATGTGCCAAGAGCCTTGAACACATTATCTGACCTAATCATTATGGCAATATTATATGAGGGAGGTTCCATTACTCTCTCTGCTCCTATGGTTACATTAAGACTCAGATGGGTTCATTAAGTGGCTTAAGGCCACACAGCCTGAAAGATGCGTTTCTCTAGCCAGTCTGACTGCAAACCCCGTGTTCTTTCTGTAATTTTGGCATTCTACATCCCTTTACCATTGTGACATGGCTCATTTATGCTTTGTCCAGAACTGTTTTCGATAACTATTGGCACACTTGGCCCAATCTTCATAAAGGGTTGGGAATTCCCCGACCCAAATGTGGCTTTGGGAGGTAGAGCCTCTGATGTGAGCTGAGAGAAAGAAACTGACGGACACATGGAGGCCTTCATTCTGCTTCTTGGTCTTCTGAGGTAGATAAAGGCCAGATGACCTAGGCGTGAGACCTATGTCTGCCATATAGTAACTGTGTGACCTTGGGTATATTACCTAACTACACCAAGTCTCACTTTCACTACCCATAAAAAAAGGATAAAAATATTTCCTGTATAGTGATTGTGACAATTAATGAGAATAAATGGCAGTGATTATTATCTTTTACTCTATAGTTTACCTACCTGAGCTTTGTGAACTTGAGAGGGAAGGTATCAGTTGGAGTGGCAATGTGGAAAGAGACTTAGAGTGGACAATATTTGCAGGGAAAGGAAGGGAGCAACAGCTAAGAATTAAAATGACAAGCGGGAGTGTGCTCAGTGGTCAGTGAGGCATTTTAATGACAACAACACTGCCACCAGAATCTTTATTCTCCTGTGAAGCAGGTAAAGACCTTATCATCTTAACCAAAGCATTTCAGCATCCCTTAGGAAATGAGTCTTATGTCCTTAGGCAGTGGTCACCAAACTGGCATCTTTTGCTATTATTCAGGGTCTGATGAGGTTGGAGGAGGGATGGGGTGTCAGTTGGTGGTCTTTCTGAATCTCTAGGGAGCCATGTAAGCAGTGAACATCCCTTCCGTGAAATCAGCTCCCCGCTGTCAGCAGCTGACCATGATGGAAATGTGTCCTATAATGAGGAGTCTTGGCTGTTTTTTTTTGCCTGCGAGAAGCAGCCAGGCAGGTGGCAGGGCTACTTTCCCATGCTTCATTTTGCTGCCATCCTTGGTGAGCTGGATATTCCCTATTTGTACCTCCACTTTATCCTCTACTGTTCTCTGCCTTTGTCTGGGTCCTGGGAACCCAACTTCTAAATTTTATAGATGAACTACAAATTACTACTTTTAAAAATCCAGGGTCAGGATAGGTGGGTATAGGATGCTTCTATTTATGTAAAAATGGACACACACACACACACACACACACAAACACACACACACACACACACACACAAACACACACACTCGTGAGTGTGCTTGTTTCAAGCCTGATCTTTCAAGATTATTAGTGTTTACTTCTAGGGAAGGGGCTGAGGGAGCAAGCAATCTGGGGCAGGAGGGAGACCTACATAAACTTACGTATTATGTCGTTACACCTTATGAATGTTTTATCATGTGCAAGCATTTATTTTACTGTTAAAATACTGAAAGTGTGTGTATGAGAGAGAAAGTGAAGAGAGGGCACGTAGCTTCTTCAGGGTGGCTGATCAATGCAGGCCCTCTTAGACAACCACTGAACTGGCACTGCCAGCCCTTCCTTCCTCCCCTGGTTAAGTAAACCACTGCCCACCCTTTGATCAGGTTTTGTAGCCTCTCCTGGAATTTTCCCATGCTGTGTGGTCTTGGGGCTGCACAGAAAGCCCCCGAAGTTAGGGGCCAGGAATGTGGCTCCACCCCAGCCTCCAGCAGGACTGGCCTGGGTATGGATCCTGTCAGCAGGGCAGCCAGGGACAGCACACAGCAGGGATTCTGAAAGCTTCTCTGTTGAGTCCTGAAGAGGTGGTCTGGGCAGGGAACCCTCCAGGAAGCCGAGGCTCCCCAGGAGATGAAAGCCAAACAATACCATGCAGGCAGTTATTGAACAACTACACAAAGATGAATAAATGAGCAAAACGTATAAACGAGCATTTTATATCAGCCATAAGCACTCGTTGGCTGGAGGATAAGGGGGAAGGCCAGGTAGGTGTGAAGGATCTCCAATCTCAACTAAGCTCAACATTTAAGGAAGAAAGGATGATGGTGAAGAGTCGTCTATTTACTTGACAAACTTTTATAGAGCAATTACTATGCACGAAGGTCTGTTCTATCTTACAAAAACACTAGAAAGCTCTACTAAGGGCTCTAAGAGGATTTTGTGGACCAGCCTGGGAACTTGAGAGTCCCACAGAGATGTGAATAGCAAGGCCAAAAGAAGATTGATAAACCCCTGTAATCCCAGAGACTCTGGAGGTCAAGGTGAGAGGCAAGTTTGAGGTCAGCCTGGGAAATTTAGGGAGACTATCCCTGTCTTAAAATAAGCACTAGCTGACTTATAATAAAAAGGGCTGGGGATGAATCTCAGTGGCAGAGGGTCGCTGGATTCAATCCTCAGTACCAGAACAACAACAACAACAAAAAAAAGATTCATGAACTTAAACTCATTGCAGGATTTGACCTTAACTTGATTCCAAAGACAGGAGATGCTGATGAATCTGATTTTAGGATGAGCCATTATTCTTTTAACTGTATGCTTCTATTCTTCTTTTAACTTCTGAGCAACCAAGCTCGCCCCCATCCCTAGGGTTTCAGTGTTCTGAAAGTCAGGTGAGATGTTCTATTGCCAAAATCAAATAAATAGCACTCTTCCATTTCTTTTTGAAAGGAAAATCAAGCCAGCTGATAGGATTTTCTTAACTTTAAGTTTTTCCTTCCTTGAAGTTTTCTTAAACCCTTGTCACCATCTATTGCTTATTCATTCTAGAATTCTCTTTTTTTTCTAACACAATAGCCATCTGATTTAGCAGAAATTTGAATGCTAGTTATTTTTCTTATCTGTGAAATGAAAGGATTGAGCTACTCCTTCAGAGATCTTTCAGGCTGCTTCTAGCACCGACACACTATGCTCTGCAGTTGTTAGGGCTGTTGATATGATGTTTCAGTAGACTGCTGGGCCTCTGCTGGGAGATGGGGCAACACTGGTCAGCCAGGCCCCACAGCTGTGGAAGTCTGTGAGCCCAGATCCCACCTCCCAGTGCCGTTTCCTCAGAGCATAAAAGCAGCTGCGAGTTGGAAAAGATTGAAGTTCAAATTTTCTCTATTTTGTGTTCTCTAACAATTTACAACAGCATGGGGCAGCCCCATGTCCTTAAAAGAAGAGCTCTGCCAGATATATTTTTGTATGTGTCTGGCACTTCTTAGTGAAAGTCCAGCTACTTCCATGATTAGATGTTATTGGCAGCATCCTGCCCTTTCCCCCTCTACTTTTCACAGAGGAAATAGAAAGAATGGTTGAGAGAAGTCATTTATCTTGGACTTTCTTTTGAATGAACTTGGGAACTTCCTTGTTGCCAGAAGAATCAACATCTATCAAGATAATGAAGTTTTGCTATAAAAGTCAGATAGAGGCAGGGAAGAATGGCTGGGATTCTCTGCTTCGGATTTTGTTCACTAATTCTCTGAACTGTGTTCTAAGAAGAACAACCGGTCTCCCCTACAAATGCCTGCAGAATTATCACTGTTTAGATCTTCCTTGGAGCAAATATGTCATTAAATTTTGAGGCATAGAAGTTGGCTACAGTGATGCATGCCTGTAATCCCAAAGGCTCCAGAGGCTGAGGCAGGAGGATGGCATGTTTGAGGCCAGTCTCAGCAACTTAGAGAGACTCTTGGCAATTTAGAAAGATATTATCTCAAAATAAAAATAAAAGGACTGGGAATGTAGCTCAGAGGGAAAGAGCCCCTGGGTTCCATCTCTAATATTAAAAGAAAAACTTTTTTTTTTTGAAGAAAATAAAAAGAACTTTTTTTAAGAAGAAAACTTTTAAAATAAATAATAACAACAACACCAGCTATTATCTATTAGGCTCTTACAATGCACCTGGCATTTTGACAATATGTGAATAATTGGAGGGCTTACTGCAGTGTTGTTAATAGACTTAGAGAGAAATCTGGAGAGAAGCAAGAGCAACCAGAGTACATGTGCTTAGTCACAGGCCTTTTTTGCCTTCTCTATTCTAAATTTGAAAATCCTTTTGCAAAGATTTTACTGAGTTTTCTTTTTGGAACAATAATGATCTCACTGGACAACAACTCTGCAATTAGCTCATCATTCTTCACTTAGATGCTGACATGAACTGGGATATGTGTCTAATGTCAGAATCTGAGATGTTTTCATCTGTCCCCAGGGTGTGTGTGTCTATGAGAGTAGATGTCCCCCATCAGCTTCTGCACAAGTAAGAGTAAGTCGAGTTGCTTGTGGGTAGACTCTGGATAGACTCTGCTGGGGATTTGCAGCAGGTCCACAGCTATGCAGTCCCTTGGTCTAGAAATGGTAGTGAGCTCCCCACAGTAAAAATTTCCATTTAGAATGCATTTGTGCATAGGAACAAGGCTGTAGAAGGTGACTTGGTTATATGACTAACCCATAAAGCAGTCTTAACACTCACCAAATAGGGTATTTTAGTGGGGTCAGTTTCTTCTTCTCCTTCTTCCTCATCTTCCTTCCCCTTCCCCTTTTCCTCCTCCTTCCTCATGACACTGGGGATGGAAAGAGTGCTCTACTTCTGAGCCATATCCCTACTCGTTTTTTTTTTTTAATTATTTTTTTTTTTGAAACAGGGTCTTGCTAGATAGCTGAGGCTGGCCTTGAACCAATGATCCTTCTGTTTCAGTCTCCTGAGTCACTGAGATTACAGGTGTGCACCAGCACATCCAACTAGGGCCAACTTCTTTAGCAGCATAGGGGTGCTGTTTTGCAGTGATTATGCAATATGCACATGTCTTGTGTTTATACAACCAGAGATATGAAAAATTGTGCTCTACATATGTGTAATAAGAAATGTAATGCGTTCTTCTGTCATTTATTTTTTAAAAAATAATAAAAAACATCAAAATAGCAAATGATAACAATCATATTTTGTGAATATTCTGGGTTACCTAGGGAAATATTTTTTGGTTACTTGGCCACTTAACCTTTAAGTGACAGTGAAAGAAGATTTTGAGTAGGTGGTATATGCTTGGCATGTCTACGGATGTTATCTCAATTTAATCCTTTTTTTATCCCAAAATGTCTCTATGAAGGAGGTATGGTGAAGTTATAATGTATGTAAGGTTAGATTCTAAGGTCAATAAATGAAGTAAAAATTATATAGACTTGAAATTTGCTTTGAAAAATCCCCTAAATCACATATAAAGATATGCATGATTTTATTATAACCCTGAACAGTAATAAGTAAAGATGAATGCTACATATATTAATATGTCATATGTTATAGAGCTCATATGGAGCATATAATTTTAGAGATGAAGTCACTGGACTTATTTGTAGGGGACCAAATGTAAAAATAAATTTTGAAAACTTTCTGACGAAATATACAGACTGAATCTATTATATTTGAATTTACTCAAGTTTATACTCCACCGTATTATTATCCCAAAATTACCAATAAGGAAACTGAACTCAGGAAAGTAGCTTGTTTAAGGAGACATAGCTGATAAATAGAACTGGAGATTGAACCTAGACTTTTCTGACTCCAGAACCTATTTTCCTAATATGTTCTGACCGCTAAATCATTGTCCAGGAAATGACATTTGAAAAATTATTTTTACTTTAGGATTTGCATGTACTTGGATGTACTATGTTACTTATAATATCTGCATATACATAAGCACCTGGCTATGTGACTAGTACATGTACACTAGAAATTCACCAATCTGGAACATAGTAGGAATTGAATGAATCAATCCAGATGGACAAAATAAGAAATCCAGATGAACACAAGAACTCCAGTAATTCAGTTATCTCTTAACAAGTTATATTGTCATAGCTTTCATTCATCATATGAATTTCCTGAGGCTGAGATGGACATGGGTCAGACAAAAAAGACACTGATTCATAGGAGGTATCAATTTGGAATGGTGTCATATGCTTAAAATCTCAAACATCTCACATATACACATTATGCATCCAATCCATACATTCATGCATCTACTCATCCATCCATCCATCCATCCATCCATCCATCCATCCATCCATCCAGTAGAAGATATATCATGTGCCAACTATCATAGCCACACTTTTTGTATATTAAAAAAATACTTCAGTAATTTTGGAATCTATACTAGTTCCCAAGTGTCAGAAATGGTTAAAAGAAACATATACTATACCCCAGGACTTTTATGATGTTAACTTATATCATACATCTGTTATGAATTGTCATCTTTAGGCGAACCTCACCTAAATTGTTAACATAGATTAGTTGTTTTTACTGCTATATGTCTTCAAATGAGTACAATGATATGTCTTTCAAAATTATTTTTCTTTTCAAAGACTTTTTCATTAATCAGGGTAAAACTTTACCCTATGCCAATGATTGATGAGGTTTGGCTTTGTATTTATTTTATTTATGCCCAACAAAGGCCCAAGCTTAGCAGTCTATAGCATACTCAATTGATTCCAAAGTACACTGACCAGGGATCAGAAATGTCAGGGTTGGCCACCATTCAAAGTCACTCAGGTGTGCTGAATTTCAGGCACTGGATGTGAAACCATCAATCTCACCTGTGGTATTGAAGCCAAAGAGGAGAGGACAGGACACGGCAAAGGCCAGTACCCACACAGCTGTAATCATGAGAGCCACACGTCGGCAGGAGCTCTGCCCGGTGCCATGTTGATAGTGAACTGGCATGACCACTGCAGTATACCTGCAAAAGGGAAGGGAGAGAGGGTAGGCATGTTGAGACAGGAAGGGGAAGTATTGCTGAGAAGACAAATTCAAAGAGGTTACTAGAGAAAGAATTAGATTGATACATATGGCAGGAGAAGAACGTTTTAATTGGAAAAGTTAGAAAAGTGTTTGGATGAAAAGTGTAGAAAGGTCAAGGTAAGAGAGACGAAGAACATTCTTTTGGAGAAGATGAGCAAAGCAAGGGAATGAGAATGAAAATGTTACTGCAGCAACATGGAGCAGCTGGGGAGCTTCTGGTCAATGCCCAGCATAACCAACCTGGCAGCCACATGCCCTTCGCTCTGAAAGCTTAGGGTGCTGCTCTGGGGGCCTTTCCTTCTTCCCACACTTTTCCAGACTGGACTATGCCCAAAGAAGATGTTTATCCCTGCTCCTGTCCTAATATGAATTTTAACCCCTGGATTGAATAACTTTCCAATAATAGAGTTTTGAGAATAGAGTTGAGTTATATCCAATGAAGGCTAAATTTAAAATTCAGTTTTTATACTTTTACATGGTCAGAGCCTAATTCTTTACTCTAGTTAGAAACTGTATTTTCTGAGGCAACTCCTCATACGTATTTACAGCTGCTCGTTGGACTTGCCTGAATGACTATTCTCTAGTCATTGCAAACTCTAGGTGTCTGAAACATCTCCCTGGCGCCCCACACCCCTTACTCTCATTCCATGTTCTGCCTTCCTCAAGGAATCTCTACGCAATACCTAGGCCCTTTAACTTTCCATTGATCTCTCCATATTTTTCCCCATTCATTCACTTACCTTGCATTCAATTTTATTGAATTTCTACCACATACCAGACCTTATTCTGGAAATATAGAACTATGCGAAAGGAACATTGTCCCTGTCCTCATTGAGCCTAGAGTCAAGCAGAGCCAATGAAACATAAAAAGCAAAGAAATATAAAATGAAAAGTACCATGAAGGAAGCTGGTTGCCACATTAGAGAACAATGGAGGAGGTAAAGAAGGGACAAACCAACAACAACTGGGCAAAGAAAAGAGGAAGCTGTCCATTTACTGAGGGCGGGGGAAAATATTCCAGTAGTAAATGAACAGGCTGGTCATTGGCTACTTTTATACCCACAGGTCAAAGTTAATCTCCTTCAACATGACTTCATTTTTTTGCCAACCTAACCCCCACTGGTTCCTGACACGTCCTCATGCTCCAGACAAACAGGCCTCGTGATGGGCACTCAACAATTGTTGGAGACTGGTGTCTTTGTTCCATCCATTATCCTTTCTCCCTCCCTCCAAAACTCAATCTTGCTTTCCTTTAATCTCAGATGAGCTCTCTAGCAATCTTCCCTGGCCTTTTTACCTTATAAAGACCTCTCCCTCTGAACTCATACTACTCCTATGCCAATCAGTTACGTTGCCCTCTGGCTTGCAGGTCTTGATTCCCTCATGTGATTGAAGTCACTCAATGGCTCAAATCATTATATAGTCTTGGTATTCCCCATAGGTCATTGCACAAAGGAAGTAGTAAGTAGCTGTTGAATAATTGCCTCATGGGCCATGAGAACAGTTCTAATCCTAGCAAAGTTCAAGGGATCTAAGATATGTCTGGTCCTAGCCATGGATCAACATTTTTTGTCTTTGTTTTCAGGGAACTTGGGGGCCAGATTTGGAGCTGTAGCCCCCTTAACCCTTGTTGGGCACCTTAAGGCTTGGGACTGAGGGAGGGAAGGACAGATGTTGGTCTGATGGGTATTGAACAATGCTCTCTGATATTTCTCCTGTTTGTTCAGCTCCTGTGCTCCAGTGCTGCTGGAATCTCTCTCTTATGCATCTAATTTTAGAATGTTAACATCTGAATTCCTAAAAGAACAGCTCAAAGACAGTTGTGAGTTCTGAGATGAAGGCAAACTCTGCAAGAGTTGTCTTTGGCAGTGTTAGCTTTTTATTGATGTGATAAAGTACCTGAGAAAATCAACTTAAAGGAACAAAAATTTATTTTGGCTCATGATTTCAGTCCATGGTTGTCTGGCTCCAAGGCAAAAATATTATTGCAGAAGAGAATGGCAGAGGAAAGTAGGGAACAGTTCAGGGACAAAATATACCCTTCTATATCAAGCCCCTAGTGTTCTACTTCCTTCAACTGGGCCCCGTCTCTTAATAGCCCTTCAGCTATGAAGACACCAATGGATGTCTTCATGATCCAAGTTGTTTCCCAGAAGTGCCACCAATGAACACTACTGCATTGGGGGACCAAGACTTCAACTCATGAACCTTTGGGGGACATTGCAGATCCAAACCATAAGAGGCACCACAGTGCATGACAAAGGTGGGTTCTTTCTGAAGAGGGAGAAATAGAGTTTTTATTAAATAAGGTCAAATTGAGATCCCAGCACTAACCCCCTCAGGGAGGTCATGACAACCCAGTTCCCTTCTTCTGAAGCACACATGTCCTCTCTTAAATTCCTGCCTTGTATGTGCAGGAGTTGGCAAGTAGCACCATGTTTCTCAAGGCCTCCCACTCTTTTAAGGACTTTAAACTGCTGGAGTTTCAAGTCAAATATAGCTACCAAGGCCTTGCCCTTAGTGGTGACCCTGAGGCATCTGCTATCATGGCCAAACAGCTAGTTGAAGGCAGTGGAAGGAAAGCTGGGACCCACTTCCTCTGACCCAGATTTGCAGTTAGGCAAAGTCTCTCCATTTCTTTCACATCACATAGTGAACCTGACCATCCTGTGCATTCAGATGTGCTAGTAATGGCTAACAGCTGGTTCTCCAGGTAAAAAGGTCCCTGCTTTGTAACACTTGCATTTTCTATGATGTAGGTGTATCTACTATTGCCCATTTCAAACCACCACCAAAGACTTAATAACTGACTCAAAAATTCCTACAGTTTTACCAATCAGTTCTTGCTGCCTTTACGAGCTGGCTCTAGCACACCAATTTCCTCAATCTGTACACTTTATTGTCCAGCAACTCCTTGGAGACTCCATTAATTCACTGGACCAACAAATATAGGGAACCCCACCCGGCTCCATTTTATAAAGTAGGGATCAGAGATATAAGGAGGTTAATGCTGGACCCAAAGTTCAGCAGCCGAGTGGGTTGTGCTAGGCCACTGTGTCTCCTGAGTGCGCCCTTCCCTCTCAAGGGCAGGGACAAGTCTCTGAGGCACAAAGGGAGATAAGGACACCCTTGTTAGAGTGACAAGGGTGAGTTGTACTTAGCAATGTGGGTACCCAGAACAGTTTCCCCAATTAGCTGATTTTTTTAATTGCCTGGGGATAACTGAGAAGAGGAAGAAGGGAGGTCCTGTTAAAATGCAGACTTCTAGGACACGTTTGTGGAGATTTTGATTTGGTACTTCTGAAGTGGAACCTAGGAATATGTATTTTTAACAAGCAAATGCATCTTATGAATTTGAAAAAGTCTGCATTAGGGAAAGTTTCTGTCAAAGATTCTAACTTGTTAACATAGGAAAGAAGAAGTGAAAGATGAGACTACAATTCACCACTGTCACATTACACTTTGTTTTTTCTTTTTCAAACATGATGAAACAATAAAAGGGGGCCCAAGCTTGCCATAAGTGTCTGAGACATCGAGGCTGTTCCAGAATCAGCCATCGGAGGGCACCATAATGCAGCAAGAACCCTGCCGGTCGGCCGGGGTGAGAAGTTCATTGCTCACCTGGGGGCTCTCCAGGCTCCGTGGGGAGGCAGAGAGGGAAAACCCGACCCCTTGATTCCTGGACCCCTGCAGGGACCCCGAATTTCCACCACGGCAGACTGTTTAGCTTTTGGTGTCCTCTCGGCCGATCCGGACGACAGACCGTGTGCGAGCGCCAGTCAAAGCCCCCCCCCCCCAGGGTCGCGCTGCGGCACTTGGCCAGAGAGGGAGAGGAAGGCTCGGCCAGAGGCCACCTGGACGGTCAGGCCTGCAGTGCTCCAGGGCCGCAGCCCTGCCGCAGACACACTCCACACACTCGGCGGGTCGTCTCTGTCGCTCGCGGTGCCCAGGCTCCCTGCTCTGTGCCCTGGCTCCTAGCTCTCTAGGCCCTTCCTGGTGTGGATTACTCTGCAGTTGAGCGCTGGCTCTGTGCACCATGGTCAAGTGCAGCCGCAGGAGAGGCAGATTGAGTGCAGGGCCTGAATCTGGGCTCTGCGGCTTACTAATGGGGCCATGGCCAGTGGTTTGACTTTCTTGATTCAATTTCCTCATCTGTACAATGGGGATAATGATACTTGTCCAATAGAGCTGTTAAAAAATATTCAAGGAGGTTATCTGTAGCTTTTAAAAGAATTTTAGCACAATGCCTGTACATATTTAATATTCAAAAGACAGTATTATTATTATTATTAATTATTGTCATTGTCATTGTTACTGTGGTACCCTAAGAGATCAGTACTTGTATCAGTGAGTTCTTATGACTGTCTTACTCCTTACGATCAGTGAATATTAACATTTATTTATTTAATCAAACAAATGAGTAGATAGCATTTTCTGTGTGCTAGGCACTGTTGGAAGTGTTTTACAAATAGTAGTGTTTTACAATTCATTAATCCTTCTAAACACCTTTGAGGTAGTTTTTATCTCCACTAAATGGATAAAGAGATCGAGTCAAGTTAAATGACTTGCCCAGGGTCACTTTGCTGTTAAATGGTAGCGCCTAGACTTTTAGCCAGGCAGTTGATTCTATAGCTAGGACCCAGAGTAAGGTTCACAGTTCCATCTCCAAGTGGGGCAGTGTGCTATAGCAGGAGGAGGGTAACTGAATCTTTACCCTTGCATCCACCAGCTGTGTGATCTTCAGAGGCTTACCTACACATTCTAGTCGCAGAAGCTTTATTTGTAAAGTGGGGATAATGCACTCACCTGGCTGGATTGCTGTGAGGGTGGGCAATAATGAACAAAAAACTGTGTCTGGCACATAGCAACAGTGGAAATAATGGTAGCATTGTTACTTTTAGACTCATGCAAGTTAGGATTAGCACAGAACTAGCCAGGGTATTCTGTGCTAGGTAGATGGATGTGCTTCACGTAGTCCAAGGGAATGGAACCTATAGAGGTGGGCTGCCATAGCAAAGGGGCTAATGATTGCAACTCAGAGAATACTAGTGGAGGACTTAAAAGACCAATTTTTCTAATTTTGGACTACAGGACTGCTGCAAGGATTGAGCACTTTGGCTACAGGACTGCTGCAAGGATTGAGCACTTTTGTTTAAATGAATTAACTGCAATGTATCTTCTGACTCACAATTCCATCAGCAGGGTCTATGTGGCTTGTCACTCTACTGAAGGTCTCAGTACCCTGGCAGAGTTTGATTTCCACCCAGAGGCCAGTCCCAAAGTGGGCGATGGGGTGGGGGGTGGAATTGACGAGGGTGCCTCTTCAGGAAGCTGACAATGGGAGGAAAGAGGCTGGCCTGGGTGGGAGGGCCTGACTCTAACTCCCGCCTGGGTTTAATGAGCCCCAGAGCTATGTGAGGGCTGCTTTTCACCACCTTTTATTTGGTCAGACAGGGGGCTCAATAAATCTTTAGTTCCGTGGACTCCCCTCGTGGAGTTGTTGAAGGAGAAAGCTTTTTGCAAATGACTGGAAAGCCCTTTGCAAATATAAAGTGCTTATTTAGATGCAAACTAAAAATCCAAGGTGCCTGTGACTCATCTGGTACCTATTGTGCTCGCTGCAAAGGCGCGGAGGCATGCCTGTGTGATGGGTGCCATTTGAGAGCCACTTAAAGAACTCCCTGGTGAATGAATTTGGTTGCATTATTCCTGGGCTCCTCTCTGAGGACTCTAATTTTCACCGCTTGGTCGTGTCCTACTCTTCTGACACATTCTCAGCCGTATCCCCTAGTTAGCTCTGAACCAGGATGCGGTGGGAGGGGGCTGACCTACTAGGAAGGCATGGAACCCCAGGGGAGGGGGCTTGTGCTCCAAGGACTTCCCACTCTGCTTTTTTAAAAAAAAGAAAAAGCGGCTTTAATCCAAGTATCCAGAGCTGTGCCTCAGAATCTAATGACAATAGTATTACTTGCTTTCAAAAACCCTTTTATCATTTCCTTTTCTTTCCTATCTCTCTTACCACCCTGTTATTACGGACTGGGGCTTCATGACCAAAAAATACTGAATCCATTTGGTCAAGTTTGTCAGACTGGTGACTGGCATTGTGTGAAGACCAAAGGTCTGTGTGAATGACTGCATCTTTAATGAATTGACCAGCTATTTGGCATCACATGAACAGATTTTAATGCTGTGTACAGCAAACTGCTGTGAAGGATAATGGAGACAGCTTTTCTGAGACCTATTTTCATTCCTAAAATTGGGAGGGGGCTATGTTTTGAGGTTTGGTGAGGATTGATCTGTAATGAAGTACAAGCCTAGAGGAGCCTCCTCTGCTGGGATTCAAGGCTTAGCTCATCCTTGCCAGGTTTCAAGTAGTGAGTGCTATGCATTATGGGAATTTTCCTATATGGGACAGCAGTCAATTCAAGGTTTATTCTTGATGATGTTTTCAGTGGCATGTGTGTTAAGCATGGCTGCTGCTAGCAAAATGGCGCTGTTGGTGCAAATTAGAGACAAGTACCCCCTCCTGGCTAGCAAATTACAGAAAGGCATCCTCTCATGGCATGCCTCAGGGCTTGAGAAGGGCTGGCTGCACTCTGTTCCCACACCCTTGTGCAGGGCACAGCCTCCTCGCTGCACCCATACCACTTGTGTGTGTGAATGTGTGTGGGCAAGAGGGGTGGGAGGGGCTGTCCCAGCTTCTCTCCAGAATTCTCTTTATACTCTCTTCTCCCTCCTTCCAAGGTTAATCTTCTCCCATCCTTTCATGTCCTTTCCAAAGATGCTTATTTGTGGTATGAACATGTCTACTCTCAGCCAGGGACCATTGAATTCAGTTTAATACTCTTTGTTCAAGGTTCTCCAATAGGCACAGCAGGGAGATTGACAGGTGAGAAGGACCTAGGGCTAAAATGGTGGAGGCCATGATAAAGCAAACCAGCTGCAGCCCACAATTTCTATAAATAATATATTCCCTAAAACATGTAACTACGTGTCCAGAAATTACACAACGGACTTAGATGTTCGAGCTAAAAATATTATAAAATACCTATCTCTTCACTTTTTAACAGCTTTATTGAAATTTAATTCATATAATTAATCCACTTAAAGAGTAAAATTCAATGTTTTTGGTATATTTACAGAATTATGTAACCTGTCTTCTATTTTAAAACACTCTTAAATGGCATTCTTTCCAGCATTATAGACTTGTTCTTTAATTTTCCTTCTCAGTTGACTAGTTAATCAAATGTTAAAAAAAAAAAAATCCAGTTGGCTAGTTGGTTTGCGGTATCAGCATCAGCAGGGATTTTCATATCTGTTCTTTGGTTATTGTTCAAAATTTCCCTTCAGCACACAGAAGCAAGTTGAGGGCCAGTGCTGTTGAGGACACAGCATTGAGCCATGTGAGAAAAGGCAGGCTGGATATGCCACAACAGTTACACAGAAATCATTATGAAGTCTCAGGGTGACTCAGTAAAATGATAGGAATTCAGAAGGGTTTTATGGAAAAGGAGGTTGTTCTGATAGACCTTGGAGCATGGGAAGGATAGAAGGAAACCCCAAAAGAAAAAAAAATATTGAAAAAGTGAATTGAGACCATATTGTGGAAAACTTTGAATCTTGGTCTGTGGAGATAATTTTAGTTTTTATTCCATAGATCAAGGAGACACTGAAAGATTTTGAGAGGGCAATGGAAATTAGGGCTCTACTTCTGGGGGAATTCTGATGGCATGAAAGACCAGTTAGAAAGCTGTGAAGTTCAGGTGAGAGGACATGGGTGTCTAAAGTAATTAGGGGGCAGTAAGAAAAGAAACAGAGGCAAATCTGAAAATTGTAGAGTCTCTACACATGGATTGCTTGATTATGGGAGATTAGGAAGAGAGAGGAGTGAAACAAAACCCAGGATTCTAGAACAAAGATGGTGTCAGTAAAGTCAGTGAGAAATCACTAAGTCAAGATGGTTTGGTGTTTTAGTTTTTTTTTTTTTTTTGTATTATAGGAGCCATTGGGATATCTGAAATTCAGGAGAAAAGGTAGGGGTATAACTGGAGATTTGGTGAGATTAACACAAAACTTAAGAGTATTAATTTGGAATCAAAGAGACATGAATTCAAATTCTGGCATGACTCTAACTAGATGCAAGTCTTTGGCAAATTTTTTAAAAGAAGGAAGATTAGAATAGTACCTGAGTCATCATTAAGATGAAATAATGCTTGTGAAAACTTGGCACAATGTGGTAAATTCTCAATGAATGCCAGATCTTATTTGGGGTCACCTGTTGGAACTGTGGAGTAGATGGGAAAAAAAGAGTAGATGAAAAGAGAGGGAGGACATTCAGGACTCAGAAGAGAACCTTGGAAGCTCTTGACTGTCAGCATTGGGCAGAGGCTCAAAGACCACCTCCTTCCCACAGAGCTCTCAGGGGGCC